TACATTTTACTGATATTAGACTCTTTGACAGAAAACAGAAGTGGCTCTGGTTCCATATTAGTCACTGGAACAGGGAAGACATTGAAGTTCAAACAATGTATACACTAACTAACTTTGAGTGCGCACTTTTGGGAGGCGAACCGCACGAGACCAGTCTTATGTATATAGAGTTGCAGAGGGTCCACGCAGGAGACGTAAACGTAGACGCGAAGGTCGAATTTGCTGCCGTTGATGAGGAAGGGATCGACGAGATAAAGTTGGGCAATCAGGCGCTTCCTAGATGGCACGTCAGTAAACTTGTTCACCACGTACACTCCGATACCTCGAGCACAGGCAGGCTCAAAAAGCAAGAAGAATTAAGGATAATTACTAAATGACTGTCAGCAGGGTTTACTGACACAAAATTATAATATGTATACAGAGGTGCTACAGGAGGCTAAGAAATCAGCATGTGCCAATTCATGCTTAAATATAAATATACAGACAATGGTCTAGCTCCTGAATTTATTTTGTGTTTAACAAACGCAGGTGACACAAGGCAAATAAATGTCTTACAATCAAGAAAAGCCTGATTTTGTGCAACTTTTTATTATTTGAAATAATTATTTAGAGCCAATTTGTTAAAAGTCAGTGTGGTCGCCGAGTTTTAAATAAGTTAGTTAATGAAATCAAGCTATAAACTAAATAATGCCTTCTTTTTAAGAAGGGTAGTTTATTTAGTAAAAGTAAGCTTTGACAAACGCAGCATGTGTAACGTTTTTCTTACAGTAATTTACCTGTAAAACTTATGAAATTGCATGAAGTATCACCGCAAATGCGTATATGATAGTAAGACGCTAACCGATCCGGTTGCGGAACATGCTCGTCCCGTTGTGCCTTGGAGCTCATTCTAGAGCCCTGGCAGGCAGTCGCATAGCGACATTTAATGTATCATGAAGTGGAACTGACAAAGACTAGGGAGACCGAAATGGCCGTTTCTGGCTTATTAGCTGCCAGTAGCCACTCATTCCAATCCCAGCGATGGCGACCCCAGGATTCCAGCCTGCGACTGTTGGTCATTGAGTGCGACACACTACCATTGCACCACAGGTCCGTGGTCGGTTCATTTTCATCATGTGTTACAAGTCGCTGTGCAGCAACTGTCTGTTAGGGCTCTAGAATTAGCTCTGAAGCGCAACGGGACGAACATGTTCCGTAACCCGATCGGTGAGCACCTTACTATCGTCATATTTTCAATCACAACCGACAAAAACAACGGGCCCGTGGTGCAACGGTTAAGTGTTGTACTCAATGACCAAAGGTCGCGGATTCGAATCCCCGGGTCGCCACACCTGGGACTTAGTATGGCTGGCTGATGATGGTCAATACGCCGGAAATGGCCATTCCAATTTCCCTTGTCTTTGTTGGTTCCACTTTTACTGCGTATGTGTTAGAAATGCTTTCATCGATCGGGTTTCCGACAATACTCGTCCAGTTGTGCCCTGAGGTTCTGTCAGGAATCGCTCAGTAATCACTATTATAGATAGAATAGAGTGCCCACAAAGACCAGTTGCACAGGTGTGATGACTTCTGGCTGATTAGCTGTCGTCAACCAGTTTTACTGAGCCACAGGTGTGCGCAAACTGAAATTCTAACTCACGCTCTTTGTTCAGCAAATTTGTTAAGTCCATCACTATAACACTGAGCTACTGGAGCCTTGTCCTGTCGAGTGTGATTGAGAATGTTAACTACGCTGGAAGTGCGCCCCTCATCAGTGCCATTTTCACTGAGTTTTAGAAAGTAATATGTTTGGCGAAGACATCCATCAGCACAGTTATCTCCCCTGCCTTTTTCGCATCGAAGGTCAGTAATCAGCCTTAGACGGACGTGTAGAATCGAGGACTTGAGCTTTAACCCAACTGAAGGCACAGCCAAAAAGGGTCTATCTATATACAGAATGAGTTAGGAAAAAAACGAAAGGGCACTATATGTAGAAATGAGACGAGCAACGAACGCATTCAAGCCTACAGTACGGTCAGTATTTCATGCAAAATGCCGAAATTTGCGAACGATTGATAACTACGCAAAAGCCAGCATTAAGTAGAGTTTCAATACTGATCATCTTGCATCCTAATCTAAAGCCATTTGAGTCACGTCAGAATGCCGACTTTTTAACGAGCTTCTTTCTGACCGCTACAAAAATTATATTCTGTAAAAGGTGGTTACTTATGTAGTATGCATTTAACGCATTGATTTTCATGGCCCTTATAAATTCGAATATATTTTATAGAAATCATTCACAAAATTATTTTTTCTTGTACTCATTTGATAGAAAATCACGCCTTCTTCATACTTCATACTTTAGGGAAGGGTATATTTCGGTTTTAAAAAGTTGATAAATTGGCAAGTAATTTTAAAACCTACCAGCACTTGCACTTGGTTCAAGGTTTTCAACGGCATACCGTGCACATTCTGTCTAAAGAAAATCATGAATCTCTCCACACTATGACGAAAAGGTTGCATATTTCTCATAAACTTTTTCAATAGATGCCGATTATGCTGTACACATGATAGGCAGCATTGGTGGACACGATACAACATGAATTAAGATTTCACAGTCGTAAAATTCCATGAGTAGAAAGATTTATAAAACCGAAATATACCCTTCCCTTAAGTATGAAATTTGGAGAAGGCGTGGTTTTAAACCGAACGAGTACAAAAACAATTTTTGAATGATTTCCGTAAAATATATTTGAATTTATAAAGACAGTGAAAATCGGTGAATTAAATGCATACTACTTTGGAAGCCATTTTTACAGAAAATGCTTTTTCGTAAGCGGTCAAAAAGAGGCTCGTTAAAAAGCCGGTATCCTGATGTGACGGAAATAATTTGAGATAATCACAGACGATGATCATTATTACCACACCACTTAATGCTGATTTGCATGTGCTTATCAATCTTTTGCAAAGTTCAGCATTTTGCATGAAATACCGCCCGTACTGTACATTTTGAATACTACCGACTGCGCATGAAAAAGACAAATAGCAGCATTTCTAGCTAAAAGGGTGACAAATACTAACTTTCGTCAACTTAGTTTATTCGGGAACCAAGTAGATTTCCTCAAGAAAACGTACTGGCTTTAAGATCCACCTGGGTGCGTTGATTCTGTTTGCGCCTACATTACTTGAATTTTGATCTTCATTTACATACTCTTCCCAAAACTCCTTCAAGCGACTGTACTCGCGAGGTAGGATGAATGTTGGCGGGTAGAAATTGTACTCTGCACCACCAAATCGTGTTTTCATCCTTTGGAGGTTTAACGTCAGTCTGTCTTTGCGGCCAAGGTTAAAAGACCCTGGAAAGTGATTGATTTTCTGATACTCCCTTATAAAACGGAAGGACTTTGCTGTGAAATGACGACCGAAATAGCCGATCCAGGTGTCTCGGGTATCTGAAAAACGCAAATATCGATCACAGCAAGACTTGTAAAATTGGTTCAGAGGAAATTTCTACCTGGTAAATTTGTGAATTCCGAAAAAAGTTAGGAGGTTTCGACTATTCGAAAGTGGCACGTAGGGCCGGTGCGAAATGAGCCAAATTAAACAAATTATCAAAAGCTTCCGATTGACTAAAATTAGGTGCGGCACACGGGGATTAATTGCAGGCCTGCATTACGAAAACTACTTTGCCAGCTTAGGATCTCGAAAACGAAGACAGGAACAGGCGGGACTACGCTGTAACGAGTGAAGAAAAAGATAAAATTGGGCGTGCACTTCCACATCAATTCGATGATACGACAAATGAGTAAGGCATTGTAAATCCAAAAATTGAAGTCCATTGGAAGAAACTTAAGGTGGTACCTTTTCGAGCTCCATCACTAGCGCTATCCGCTTTGCTCAGTTTCTGCGGTTTTTGTCCTTTAAATGATACCTGTACTTCAGAATGGGACGAGAGGCGGTGGAAAAGGTACCTGCTTAATTATCCGTATTCAAAAGTAATTAGGTATTCAGAATATATTTCAAAGTTCCCTCTGATTAAAATAGCCCTTTTACTTGCCTGAAACAATACCATGTAACAAAGATTATTTATAAATATTCACTGAATCGGTCCTCGGGCTCCTACTCGAAGGGAAGGTGCATAAGCTGCACAGTCTGGATGAAGGAAAATGCAACAACCCCTCTAGCTTTGGGATTTCGGAAGCTTACTACTTCATTTTTATTCAGCCAAAATAATGCAAAACCAAAGTTCTCCAGAGAGCGCCACTGAACGTAAACATAAAAATGCAATTGGCTAACAAACTAGTTATAAGGAGACAATAAAATATTCAATGTTGACCAGAAATTTATCAACTAATGAACAAAATATGTTTATAACAATTATAACGGAACTTCGGATAGATAACTTAGGAATGACTCAATGTTAACTTCTGTAGAAACAGTTCTTTTCATTTACCTTCAAGACAGTCCTCACCCACTATAAAATAAATAAAATGCATTTAAATTATGATCTCCAGATCAATATTATCACATAATTCACATCTACTTCGTTTTACACATTTAATGAACAAAGAGGACCTGATGAAATGCAGTATTTGAAGGAGGCTTTGAATGGTTGACTCAGCAGTTCTAGTTTTTTCTTTTCGCATTTGCACTGAGGTTACTGCATCTGACGGCTCTTCTGGTTCCGGTCCCAAACATTCCTTGTTAAAACTTCTATAAGTTGGATACCTGCTGTGTCGGTCATGCAGCCTCAAAAAGGCTATACCCTAGCATCTAAACTGGAGGCACATTATAAATCGTTTATATTCTTCTGTACAAGGACATCATGATAACGCTCTATTTAGCCACTCTGATTTACAGAATCAGGAATATGAAAGCACTCCGACTGGAAGAGCATGCATTGGTTCAGACCCTGTCAAACATCGTTTGGCTTTTTACAGAAAGGAGGTTCGTACCGGCTTCTACTTGAGTTGACCCAGATAAAAAGTAAATAGTAATTCATCCACCATCTTATGTCTTCTTTTTACTTATGGTTATTACTTTACTGTTCTAGTATTTTTGAGGGCACGCCGCGTGTGCTGACTTCGCGCAAAATTACATTTTTAAGTGAATCCACCGCATTTCATGAGATAGGGAATCTACTGTATGTAATCTGAATTTAAGGTTGCAAGCACTCCCGTCAGAGCATTCAGAAGAGCAGTTCGCAAGCATATGTAATGGCCAGCATACGATATGGGAGGATTGCTGGATTTATAGCAATTAAGAGTGCATCTGCATTGGTTTCTGTCGCGGCGATGACAAACTTATCACCAGTGTTCTGACCGCAGGGTTTTAACTTACTGATCTGATCGTTCCGTTGAAATTGTTCCAGCTTGCCCATGAACACATTACGTAAGAGAGGACCGAGAGGTGAGCCCATAGCAACGTCATCTATTTCTTTATATAGTTGGTTGCCAAAAAAGGAATTGCCCCTTAAATGTGCATCTCAGTAATAGTTCCTTTAGCGCGTTCGTCAGTATTCCTATTTCCATCTGATTTGTTAATAGGAATTCACAAATGTAATCGGCTGTCTGGGTGACCGGGACTTTCTTCAGCCAGCGATGAGACCACTGTTCTAACTTATACCGCGTTCCTATATAAATGAAATGGTCCGGTGAAAATCTAGATCTACTTTAATGATGCAAATAATCTAGGCGTATAAATTTCTAGACGAAATGTGCAACTATGCAAAGATTTAGTGCTGTTCACCGTTGACGTGCGTTTAGAATTTTTTAATCCAGTAGACACAAAAGGTGTACCATAAGAAAAAATTAGAACTCACTGTTAAGAATCGTAAAATTTGAACGCCATAGAGCGCGCTTGACAACGTTTGGGGTAAGGGTACTATTCCTCCAAATTAGCTTTTCACTCAGAAAAGAAGGGAATTGGCCAACTAGTGCAAAAGGAAAGGGGAATTGAGGTGATAAAAACGAAAGAGCAGATATTAACTGCGTGTATTTTCCTCTCTACTGTCTTGCAGGCTCCTCCTATTTTCGCTGGCAGATTTTTCTAGTTAGAGTACTCAATTTCGGTAAAGCTAAATTTAATTCTATAAAATCCAGAACTATGTTTGTTAATTCCAGCACTGTTTGAAACCTTAGTGGTGCTTATTTCTATCATAAAGCCGTACTTATCGTGTGTTTCTCCTATCATAAGTAGCTCAATTTATGCAACTCCAAAGTTTGAAAATATGTAGAGTTTAGCTGTGCCGAAATAACGTAGTTTCTTCCCACGCTTAGCAAAAAGATTTGATTCCTGGGTGGAATTTGCACGCTTTAATTGTACTTGAGTGCATGATTTAAAGTCCTCGGGAAGAAAGTGTGTTGATGAAGGACTAATTTAATAATCAACAATCGTTATCGAAAGCCATAAAAAGTTGAAATAACTGCTCCGGCCTTATTTGTCCCTGAAAGTGACCCAGTTACCAGTAAAATCTCCTTTTTAGAATTACATTGCACGACATAAATTGCAAACCGTAATAATTGAAATCTCAATCATCGGTGTGGGGCACTTGAGATATCGTGCAGTATATCTATTAGCTTAAAGCCTTCTGGAAGGTGTCTTTAATAATGAGGAATGTGTCTAAATTATTTATCAACAAAATTTTAATTTTTCAACGGACATTTTTATTATTCTTCCATGCAAATAATCACCTCGGACCACATCTGTGCATCATTGTGTTCCTCTATCAAAAATGTAAATCTTAACGGGATATATTTACGAAAACTGCCGTCACCATTTTGAGGCTCGATATGCTGTTTGTGAAAGTTAGGTGCGTGATACATAAATGATTTTTTTAAATATCCTTGAAGTCATTCTGTTCAAGCAAGTAAGTCATGCTATTCAATTGCTTTTACAGACAGACTGTATATAACCCTAGGAATTAAATTTATGCATCGGACGTAAATACTAACTCTCCCAACATTTCTGAATATTTAATTTCGATTTTCACGCAAAATTTTCATTTTTAATCAACTAATGGTTATTTTCATTACTGTTTTGTATGTTCACTTAACTGACTGCCAATTTCTGCCGAAGTGAAGCCTCGGTAAGTAAATGAGCGTCGGTTTACGAATGACTATAAATGGTTCGTGGATTATAAAATATTTTTTATATGCGCCACCTATCTTTATCTCAGCAAAAGGAGAGCGAAAACATACTATGGAAGCGAACGACAAAATTAAATAGGGGCTGCTTGTTCAAGGATTTAATTCGATGTTTTCTAGTTATGTACTAATTGCCTGCTTTAAGTATTATATTTATATTTATTCATATTATTTTAGAATGTCGTCATTTTTGAGGCGTAAACATATGAGTGGGCCCCAAGTGGGCGAGAAATAGAAGTCTACCTGAGTGTGGTTGCTTTGAGTGTAGGGATTTCGCAAAAATACTTTAAATAACGGGTGAGTCATTCTAAAAATTATCAGTTAAAAGGGAGTCTGGATAGCTCTAATAATACAGCAAAAGTGATGTCTAGTCCTAGTCAGGTTAATTTGCTCTAAAATAATTACAAGACTGTCGTTATGGAGATGTAATCTTTTATAATCATTATCACTTTTTTATGAAATTATAGAAATTCTGAAGAGATCAATACCGTTCACGAAGTTCATAAAGGGAGAATAAGGGTCTTTGTCTTTACCTATAGCGAACATCTTCTGTTGATTAATATCTAAAGCCGGTTGCTAGATAAATCACATATTAGTTCCAACATAGGCGGAGTAATTAACACTCATATACACGTCCCAGGGTGTTCTTTTGCTTTTTTTAAGCAATAGGCATCTAATGGTTTTTCGATTTATTTTGGATTTTGCTTGCACTACCAAATTCCTGAGGGGACAAGCGCAAGGTAATCAGGTATATAAAAAGCATAAAAATATAGCTTTCAAAAAAATGTTATAACGTTCTAAAATGAGGAAGATCTATATCCAAGAGGATTGCCGAATTTTTTGAAATATATTTTTAAACAGTTGAAATATTTGAAAGGAACGTAAGTGCATGATGTCAAATATAGCAGATTTACCTGTCTCATTGTCCTTAACGAACCGAAGAAAGGGCGGAATACCATTAAAAAGTGAGGCTATTGTTGGAGGTTTCTCTAAGGAAGGAACCTGGTCCTCATTCGATGCGCCTGTTTCGCCAACAGCCGAAAACTAAGACAGCATGTAAAAAATGTTAAATCAACCTGAAAACTATTTATGATAAATATATTGAGCCATATCCTTAAACGCCGCTATCCAATCCTAAAATTATCTATAACATAAGATGTACTATTCATTTTTATCACCATAACCATCATCGAATTCAACCAAAATTAACAGTTTTGTGTTGTGAACAACCAATAGACATAAAAAATAACTTGCGAATTGAGGCAAATACACGAAAGACAAGCAACAGTTATAGGACGCAGGGACCAATCAACCGTTATGAGGGGAGGGGACACGACAATGAGAACGGCTGATTATTAAAATAACTGCCAAAGTGTAGTAGTGTTTAAAGTGGTGTTTATAGTAAGAAGTGCAAAAGTAAGTGCGTGTCACATGATTTTCTCAACACATGCGCTTAATATCACCGGAAATAATTTCAAATTAGTTACTTTAAAGAGAAACTGACGGCGGAAATTGAAAAACCACGAACCGTGTGTGACTGCGTTCCTGATAAAAAAAATAACCATGACTTAATGGCTGTAATATCACCGAGTTTGGTTTAATTAAGCATTTCATTTCCTTCTGAGATCTCCTATTATCGGCGTTCAGTAAATTCTCGTTAAATATGCATATGAAAGTGACAACCGTCATAGACTGTATTCAGTGGTCCCGAAAAAAGCAACCCAAATGTTTCTGTGACAACCTACGTTCAGGCTTAAAGAGGTTTCGTCCTCTAGATCGCTGCATTGTTCAGGCATCGATTCCTCCTCCAGTTCATCCAGTCGCCCAAAAGAGTCTGGTGATCCCTCGAAATTATACCTCATCTCTTGTTTCTGGCAACAGCTGTCTACCGCTCTATCCCACTCTTGAGAACGCCTCCTGGGTTCATCTGTTGGTACTGGCATGTTTACAGGATTTTCTGTGAAGACTTTGGACTCATCAGGTAACGGTGGACTCGTCAGTGAACGAACTGGATCTGTGTGATTGTTCTGTGATAAAACGTTCCTCGGTAGTTGATGTTGTTTCTTCCTCAAAGGGATTGATGTGATACTGGCATCGCTGTTCCTGTTGAATAGCCTCGAAGGCCTTGGATGGAGCTCAAAGATCAAAGTATTATCATCTTCGACTGTTAAAACGTTCCCTTCCTGATGTTTACGTCTGTGCTTCTTTACAGGTCCTCCCTTCTTCCGCAGAGACGTCGTTAAAGCCTGATGACTAGGAGATGTCCTTAATTTAGAGCATCTTGTTGGAGTTGACAAACTGGCTCGATGGTTGGCCTGCCTTGACGGTTTATTTCCACTTTGCAGCATAGAAGCATGCTGGCGACGCACGTGTATATCTGGGCCCGACTCTGAACTGGAATCACTGTTAGAAGTAAAAGAGAACTCATCAAAGTTGAAACCGCAATGACTATTTAGATGTAGGTTTTGAATGAATTCACGCTTTGAGAGTTATGCAGCATTTACTTTATTGGCTATGAAAACCGATACTGGGCTACTTTTTGGTTCATGTAGCGACAAAAACGACTCCATTATGTGCGCAGATCAATGAAAATAACATATTTTTCACAGAAAATGAGCTGGAAATACGTTTAGTTCAATGCGTTTGTAGTGAGAAGATTGCGGACACTTATCTTCCTAGTGATAAAAAACCAGTGCTTTCCGGGATGTTAGGCCTAATTAGTTAAGTTCATGCTATATATCTGAATTCTCACAGAATTTAAAATCGTACGCGTGAAAATGGAAAGGCCTCATGTGAACTACAACATTTACCGTCAACTTAATATCGATGCTGACGGCACTTACAGCGGGAGGACGTTACCTTAGTGTTCTGAGTAGTAAAAAAGAACAGGTGTCCAAATCAGAGCACACATGTTCTGCAACTGGAGGATTTTGGTAAGTATAAAACTTAATTTTTTAATAACGTAATTATTCTGTGCTGAGCTTCTATGACCAAATTAAAATATTAATAAGTCATTAAGTTGTAAATCATGGATCAGCTTCTTTTAGTAGACATGGTTGACTTTCAGGTAGGTGCCTTTTAAGGCAGCTTTTTTATGGAAGCTTAAAGCACAGTATAAAGCTATTCAGTTAAGCATATGCTTGACATGTTTTACTTCTTGTTTTCCTAAGCTCCATCCAACTTGTATTGACACATTGAACAGGGCACTGCTAACCAGCTAATTGTTTAACATGAAAGTTTCGCTACCAAAAACCGACGTATACACGTGAGAAAAAGAACAAACTTGTTCAAGAAACAAAGGTAAAACTTATAGTTCTTACGAGGAACTTGAATCCACGTTAGATATTCGAAAATTCTGCCATTTCGTCAAGAAATCTTGGGTTGACTTGTTTTGTCCAAAGTCCATCAACAATTTCCGTGAGGTAAATTTTATTTCTACAGAAAAAATATATGTTGTAATTTTTGCCAAATGCTCAGATCAAAAGTAAAGATATATTTTGGAGAGCTACACGGAAAACCTTCGCTGAGCAAAAGTAAGGAAGTCAAATAATTTATAAATAATGCGTTTATAAATTTTTCCTTCTTGTTTTGTTATGATTTCTTGTAAGCGTCAAAATTGCCATTAATTTTGAAAATTATAGGAAAGTTTTCTGTGGCTAGAATAAAATACAATGTTAGTGTAAAACATATGATGTCACATAACAGCTTTTGTGTTTATTTAATCATATGAGGCAGTCATATAGGGTGAAAGGTTTTTTGATGTTTTCCTCCTTTACAGCATATGTAGGGCTCTGTGTGATTAATCATAGAAAAGCCCAAAAATATACACAATTGCAGAGATTTCGTAATTTTTTGCATACCTGAATTTTAAAATTTTAAAACTTACTGAAGTGTTTTTAGATTTTCGCTGTTTACACGAAAAGCCGAATCTTGGAAGTCATGTTTTGTCAATCAACCTTGAAATATAATCACTCAAGATGTAAGACACTTGTGTAAGTACATGTTCTGTGCATTATCTGACCGCTGACTTTTCACACGTACGATAGAATAAAGAGTGTAGTATCACAAAGTGACTTGCTTTGAGTGGTGTTTGTCACGTCTTCTTAGCAACAGCAATTTCTTTACTTTGCGCAAATACTTGCTCCCTTTCCAAAACTTTACACATTCTCCTCTTCCTTCTATTATTTTTAGCAAATAGTGACACCATTAACGAATTACTTACGAAAACGGATGAAATAATGACCAGTAATGAGCGCAACGTATGTATTTGCACGTGCTCAACTAAGCGAATGTGTTTCTTATTGTTCAAAATTTGCGTTAGTAAAGGCTATTGCAATAGCCTTTACTACTGAAAAGAACTAGTTTATTGTGAGGCATGCCTCACAATAAACTTGTTCTTTCCATTAAGACTTTTTTAAATGGGCAGTGAGGACCACATTTTCATCGCAGTCAGTTTCTTCTTAATCCACTACACAGTAGGAAAAAAGACACATTGAGCCTTATATTTTTTTTAAATAATAAGAAACATTTTTTCATAAACATCCCTGCCAACACATGCAACGAGGGAATATGGGGGATTCCAGGAAATTCGGTGGAATCCGGAGGATTGCGTGTATGAAGGATTTTGATTTACAAACTATATTTACAATTCACATCTTTCGAAATCACCCTTTTTTCAATAAATAATCAATAAGTTTTTCCTCTGAGAAAAAAATCAATTTGGAAGCATAAGGATGAGAAAAGTTGGCGTCCTGCTGCGCAATCCTTTTTATGGCGGGTGGGGGAGGGGTTTAAATCTCCGTTGAGGAGTTGAGAAAGGGGATTGCAACCCGTACTCCTCCGCTTATGGAAAATAAGTCAGCCGTGGGACGCCCCTTTTTTCTCCTTTAACCACTGATTTTATTATTTCGTCATTGTTTTTCGACAAAAAAATTTCGAAAAAATGTATACGGTAAATATAGTTCGTCCATAAATGTCCTCAACCCCGGATTACCTCACGGGGCAATCTGGGGTTAGTGCTGGCAGGATCTTAAACTATATCTTTTTATTATTATCATAATTTATTGATCAAAAGTAAATCTTAAAAAATGGGCTCTGTAAAAACAATTCGTTAATCAAAAATTCTTCATCCCGGATTTCCCCGTATTCCCCCGTATTCTCCCGAATTCCCCCAGGCGGCAACCCCCGTCCATTCCGGAGATTGTGCTAGCAGGGTTATTATTAATTCCCTTAGGACGCTCTTGTGGCACTTAACAATCAGCAAACGGCCCTCATTTCGTTGATTTTACTTTTTTGATGTCTAAGGCAGCAAAAGGGACAGTTTGGCAGTTATATACATGCTTAACCATATGTCTAAGGCAGCAAAAGGGACAGTTTGGCAGTAATATACATGCTCAACCATACCTGCAGCATAATTGGTATTGAGGGAAAACAGGGAATTATATTAAACTTTTGATTCGGGCTCCACCGTGGTTAGGTGTGAGGTTCAGATTGTAATTGCATTTAGTACGTTTAAAGTTGTACGAAAAGTTGAAATATAAAAGACCTTGAGACAATATTCAGCAATAATACAGCACATTTCTATTGAAAAATCACCTTAAGAAGTCTCATGTTCCTTATTCAAGTGGAGAACTATGGCAGTTTGTGAGCAGGGCGCACCCCAAAACGCAACAAAACCTATAAACGTGGATTAGCAGCTATAGCCCCGAAAAATCCTACTTTCCGTGGACACTGACACAGTTCAGAAATACTTTTCAATACTTTGCATCTAGGCCTTAGCAAGAATAAATAAACAATCACATGACCAATTTCCCGCTGACGGTTCTCGCGGACGTAAGAAACCCATGAGATACGAGACGTTCTGAAATTCCTTTCAGACCTTTGGTTCCGTATACGGTTCTGTCAAAAGTCTCGCAACCTTTCCGCTAGTTCTAGGAGTCAAACCTAAGAGTCATTCGATCATACACTCAACATTATATGCTCACAGCCACGAAACCCTAGCCCACTCTTGGACAGCTGAACGAGCGGGTCCACCGCTAAATAACTCGCTCAAGGTACCCTGACTGCAGTATTCCGGTAACTGTGAACTGCCTCCTAACTGATTGGATAATAGCTAATTTCTCCTATGATCACACCTCGATAAGCCGTAAAATGTTCCTTTCGCTCAAAGTTTTAGCGTGCGGAACCGAAACAAGAGCCGCTTGATTAAAACTTCATCACAAATTCTCAGATATAGAATTAGAGTTTCACAAGATAAAGATCTTTAACTGCCACTCCCCCTCTACTAACATATGTAGGTATTCTGTAGCTAAGAGGAAGAAGAAGAAGAAGAAGAAGAAGAAGAAGAAGAAGAAGAAGAAGCATATCTTGGTAATAATGGGATAGCTCATAAAGCTACATATCACAAAAGTCCAACATTTGTAACTAGAATGCAAATAAGGGCCAAAACGCCCAACGACAAGAAGCATCTTGACGTGAGTTTGCACATAAACAAAAAATAAACGATAAATGTTAAAATCCAGGAGAAAACGAACCGTATATTTCAAATTATTGCATGGCCCAATGCAAAGAACAGCATCAAGTGAAGGAAATTTGAACTGCTTTTGGTCAGGATGTTGCACTGATAATGAGAAGTAATTAAATTATGCAGGTTAATATTCTCCGTATAATCATAATCGGGTATGTACTTCAGCCCATGAAGAAACACGAGAGGAGGATTTAGAGAGGCCTGCCCACATTTTAGACATATTGGGACGCTTTGTTATCTAGAGGTCAAGATAGTTTTTCCTCGATTGAAGCTGTTTTAATCGGGCGAATGTCATCGTAAAGCAGAAGAGTTTTTAATTTTAGTCTGGTGAAGGTGTTCATTAAGAAGAAGGAGAATATACTCTGGGTAAAAGGTCGTCTGGGGGTATATTTATGGGCTTTTCTAACAGATAAATAT